ACGACGATGACATTAATTGTTCTTTTTCTTTTTCTGTTTCAGAACATCATTGCAATCGAGCGCGTAGGCAATGAAGTACTCGTGTGTTGCATCGATAAAAWAAAATATMAAARARTCGGAAAGTAAAGTCAGTGTTGTACGCCGTATGTAAAAGTTYCGTTTTATCGGGTACAGAAACTCCGTAAGTTTCTTTCATTCGGTTTAAACGTGTGCTCATCGTCACCTTAAGGATAGGATATCCATCGTGCATTCATCACTGAAGAATAAACGTAAGTCAATTTTTATTTTAAACACTTTCTCAATAATTATAATAATTTTTTCTTACAACAATGATATTCATAATTTTGTTTTTATTTCTGTTTCAGATAATCATGGGAATATTACAGCGTTGAAAGTGTTTGTGAATTGTGTTTGTGAAATGCTGCAAGTGTCCATGCATTGCAATCGTGCTCGAAGCAATATACGGGAGTGTTTGATCGTTTAAATAAAATTAAAATCTCGGATTAGAAGCACGTTCGTTCGTTAATTTCAATTCCGTCGCGTTCGCGAACTATTTTTGAGATTTATATATTATATTAACTGCGATCAATGCAGTGTAATTGCATTAGAGTTTGTTCGAGTAAAGTTGTATTTTTATCTTTAAACAGTCGCACAGACTGTTCGCGTATTAGAGTCAGTGCATCAATGAAGATTTTAAATTCAACTCGTTCGGGATTAAAATAAAGTGTGAAATTTGTTTGTTTCAATAGATTGTGTGCAAAGCAGTCTTTGATTTAGTTGTAGAGTCAGTGAACGGGCGTAAAACAAATTAAAATCAAACGCGAGTTAGATTCAGTGTTGTTCGTCGTATAATTTAATTCCGGTTTCGCGATAAGAAACTCATCTATAGTTTCTTATTTTCGTTTATACCGCGTCATTAGATTCACGCGAGGTGCATCGCCATGGTGCAATTGAGTTKCATCCCATTGGAATGCATTGTAAGTATCCTTTTTTTATTTACATTTTATTCGATTTTATTTTATATGATTTTGGATTTTAATGCAAATAACTTATCGTTATGTTCTCTTTTATTTTACAGATATGACAACGGACTTCCTACATTATCAAAGATGTGAGATGAATTCTTCGATGGATCATCGATGGATCTTCGATGGATCTTCGATGGATCTTCTTCAATACCAAATCGAGGAACTCTTCGATCGTCAGACTGCAATACTTGCTGCAAAATAGGAGTGTTTTAGAGCCATCGTAGAACTTCTTATGCAGTGAGTCAAAAAATTTAAAGTCCCTCCGGTGCTCAATCATGTCGAGGATGAAAGGTCCTAATCGGCACGAGTTACTGGTTGTAATTATTCCAATAAATTAGTGACGAGCACATGAGTAATTCCTTTCTAGGAGTTACTCATGAAAATTGTATATTATATTGTATTGTTTATTTTATATTAGTTCAGGATAGGTTTTCTTGTCTCACCGGTTCAATTCAATTAATTATGAATGCAATTAATTAATGCACTATCTTTTTTATTACGTGTTTTGTTCGCGTTTAGTAATGGTGAAATCGAGCATTAATTTACTCGATTTCGTCCAGAAAAGCATGTAATAAATATCTTACATGCATTGCTTCGTATTTAGTTTATCTAATCGTGATTAATTTTGATATATCGATATTTCGATATTATAAATAAATGAACAAGAAGACAAACTCATTCGCGACGGATAGATTCTAGCAGTTAATGTAATGCATTGTAAGTATTTATTATTATTTTTATTTTAATCGATTTTTTTTTTTATATTATTTTAATACTTGCTGTGAAGTAGAAATGTGTTTGAGTTATCGCACATATGTATGTTATAACAGTTGATAACGAGTGAGTTAAGAAATTTTAAATTCCTCCGATGCTTAATCAAACCGAAGATAATTATTGAAATCAATTATTGCCGAGCACATGAATAATTTTTTTTTAGAATGATGTATTAGGAACTTTATAATCTGTTTTTTATCGATAAAGTTAATTGTGCCGATAAGATAGATACCTTTAACAAAAATTTTCATTTTTTATCTTCATTAAATCGAAATAGCGTAGTATTATCCTACACGCTTTAGTGCTTTACCCTTATCAACTACATTACAAAAGTAGAACATGTAGGTAATATAGATACCTGCAAAAAATAGTAATCTTTTATTCACTTTCTGTGGATAAGTAGAGCATTAATTGGGAAGATCATAGGTGGCGTTAGATCTATATAGAATGCATGTCGAGATGGTAGATGTTGTGCAGGCGCTTTCTCGTACTGGATCCGCGTTTGGATGCTGCGACGCGCATGGCTGCCAGACTCGAAGTCGGAGTAACTGAGATGCATCCGAGAAAGAGGGAGTGAGATCGGCCGAGATTCAAACTTGAAATCTAAACGACGAACACTCAGAGTCACGCGAGTTGTCGTGCGATACGGCTCGAGCGTTTGAAAACGGACGACGATAACAGGCGGTTAATTGCGCGCCATGTGCGATCGGAGAAGTTTCAGATTAAAAAAGATCCTCTGTGTTCTATCCTTTGTCATTGGTATCCTTCTACCAATCGGTGAGTATCTTTCATCAACGATTAACCAAGATACCATGGTTTTATTTTTCTTATTATTTTCGAAATTACGCGTGTCTAGCGTTTCAAATTTGAACGATTGGTGATAGTGATCATGACAAGAAGAAAGCAAGAAAAAAGCAATTACAATTGATGAGAAGAAGAACCTTTCTTTTATTTTCATTTATAAATACCTCAATGCTGTTGTTAAGTCATTAGGTTATAAAATCATAAAAATTTTATAGGTCGATTTGTGCTTATAATTTCAACTTGATTCAACTTAACGATTATACTTTCAAAGTTGTTAATTATCGTCGTCCTTATTCATCAACGTGAAAATCATCTTTTATTATCTTCATGTCCATATTTGTTCGGAGATCAGAAAATCATGTGATTCGTTCGTTTGGTAAGATTTTTTTCTATGCGAGTCGTTTAATTTGTCAAAAAGTACTATTTATTTTTTTGAATATCCAGTTGATTGTGTCATAAAAGTTAACGATTAGTTTAACCGACGAGATATTTTACGTTGATGGTTCCACTAATTACTACGTATTGATTATTCTTACTGTTCGTTGATACGTTCGATTTTCCTTTGTAGAATGAAAATATTGCTCTTTTAATTTTTTTTTTTTTTAACTTGTAACTTCGAATTAACGGTGAAGTAGGTATCCGTTAAACGAGAAAAGTTTAGCAGTTTTCGTAGAGCTTTCAGTATGAGCTTCATATGCACGCTGAATAATAAATACACGAATAAACAGATCCCTGTTAGTGGTCGCGTGTTGTTTCGTACGTTTCGTGTTAACTTTAATTGTTGCAAATGTATCCAAAGTTTTTCCTAGCTAACATGTAGCGAACATAAGTTTTTAATATTTCCTTATAATTATTTTGCTTATTTTTTAAACGTAAAGAATACAATATTCGTGCCTAATTGTGAGTAAGATATATATTTTTTACTATGAACAATAGAGCAAAAATGATGTATACAGAACTAATTTTTTTTTTCAACATTTTTCATTCTTTAGTATTAATTTACGTTTGTCTTTAGAGCAGACTTTTCTATACGATACAGACAATGCTTTCAAGAATTTCATTAACGTGAGAATCCTCGAGAGAGTAGTCCACGGATTACGTTTCACCCAAGACATGAACGTAATTGCATTTGGTTTTATTTCATTTTTCAAGTTTTTTAATAGAATTATTATAATGACCAAAATATTTCTATTGTTAATGATTTTTTCTATATCCGCATTCACATTAATATACATATTTATTTCCATAAAATAAATATACTATTAACTTTCGAATTAAGAAAATATTGATTTGTCAAGATTAATCATGATCATTAATTATCGTAAAAAAATAATCATTATACTTGTTACCATCATAATCATGTTCTCTGTGAAATAAAGTAGATTCTGAAAAAATTTCGTTGACAAATTTCTTTCTACGGGAGATAATTGCATTGAAAATTTCATATGGGACAGCGTGTATGTATTGGAAACAAAGTGACGATAAGATGGCACGGTCTGTTTGATTTTTCTACTCGGTTACTTTTCGATAGACGTAATACGGGCGCGAAATCGCACTCGAGCGAAATTTTACGTGAAGCTTTGCTAGTTGAATATTTCGTCGCACATTGGACTATGAACGTATATGATAGTAGCTATTTTATGCAGTTTAGGTATGCACCGATGCATCACGAACGTTCATGCCATTTCTCTGTAAGGAAAATATCGGGGGAACGCTTAAATATATCCTTATATGTGTATATATTAAATATGTTATATGTATATGTACATATAAGATTATATATTCGAACGTTTATGACTGACAAGGGCACAGCAATCATGTGCAATCTCTAATTTTTTTCAAACTTTGCACACTTGTAGTGGCCCACGAGGGAGTATGTTTCACTTTATTTTTCTTGTTTTTTTTTTTTTTTTTAATTTTTCTAGAATATGCTATATTAATTTTATAGGAAATGTAACCAAAAGAAAGGGTGCATTTGTATTATAGAGCGTGTTAAGTTTCTCTTATTTGCAAACGTTTTTATTTTATTAAAAATCAACATTATTACCCAAGTAATATAATAAATAATTGTAAATGAAATATATATAACGCACGATAAATAACATTAATTAATATTTAATCTGTATGACGAATATCATTTTAAAAAATGTATCATGTGTTACACATGATTGCCGTGCCCTTGTTGAGAGAATATGAAATATTTCGATTATATTAAGCCGAGTGTGAGCGGATAATTCTGATTAACTTTCCTCTCGATTTTAAAAGTTTCGGGGATTTTTCTAATTTCTTTTTTTCAACCCTTTTTCAAATCTCAAATAATGACCTTAATCACATGCGCTAGGATTTCTCGCATGTAAAGCCTCTCATCTCTTATGCAAATTAATCCAGACGCTACATTCAAACAAGAACAAAATGTTAGATTCATCCATGATGTTTGGAAAATCTTTCATTTATGATATATTCGTCTAATGCAAATCATGAATGATTGCTAATTTAATTTGATAATATTTTACAAATAATTATTATCTAAATGTATGAAATATGGAAAATTAATTTGATCAACAATTTTTTATACTCGTATATTTGTTCATCTCTCCTTTCTTGCTCAAATAATTATTTAATTATATTTATCTGTTTATAACCGTAGAGTCATTCGTAATTCATTGTAATCTATTTTTACAAGTCCAGAAATATCTGCGAATAATATTCGAAGAAATTAACGTTGCCTTTAAATACAACCATAATCAATATTTTCTCGTAAACATTTTTATTCATTCTTAAATAATTATTTCACGCACAGTCAATTTTCCAATTCGTTGACATTTCTTTATCATCGAAATGCCGAAGAAAGTATCGAAATCTCTTTTCGAGCATTCGACAAATAAACAAATATCCATCCATTACCTTCGAATAAGTTTCCTCCTTCGTTTTCATTTCATTGCTCGAGTCATCATCCCTTCAGCGATTTTAAATCAGAACTGAAGAGGAAGTAAAAGAGGAAGAAAGAGCAAGAACGGAAGTAAAGACGTTCTTCCTCACTTCACCTTTCACCACCCCTTACCCTTTTACTTTTCAGTCATCCTTACGGATCCCCTTCGAGGGGAATAAACATCGGAGATTGGATTTTGGATTACCAGTATCCTTATGCTTCGTGGAAGGGCAAGAAGAAGAGAGGAGAATGGGTTTGAGGGTGGATGGGTTAAGAGCGGAATAAGGGACAAGAGGGTGGGGGAAGGGGTCTAGGTAGATTGTGGATAAAAGTGAGGGAAATGCAAATGGGAAAGGAAACGACGGACGTTCGAGAAGAGCCTCGAAGAATATAGAGAAGTTGGATGTGTGATTCGGTGACATAGAAAATCAACATTTTTATATATGTATATATATATATGTATTATATAAAAGGTAACGTTAGAAGTATATAGGTATTACCCGAGGCTACGTACAAGAAATTCGTGTTTGACCGTCTCTTTCTTTCTTCTTGTATTGCTCTCTGTCGTTTTCTCTCTCTCTCTCTCTTTCTCACTCTTTTGATATTTTTGTCGTTTCACGACACAACGTCTTTTCATTTTCCAACCTTTCATCCTTTTCCTTTCATTGCAGGGGGTTTTTCACGAACACGCACGGAATCGTAATATGTATTTCGTTTTTTGGATTTTTCTTCTATTTTTCTTTTTTTTCGTTTCTTTTTTAATCTGGTACGAGATAAATTGGTTAGAATAAATATGAGTGAAATAGAGGAAGAGGTAGAAAGAGTGCATTACTTTTCGTTAGAATTTTAATTCACTTTAGATTCATTTTTTATCAGGATGAAAAAAATTATTCGGATAAAAGTTATTTGATATTTTTTCCCTCTGCTCCCTCTTCCCTCGTTTCTTATCTTTTTACGTAGAATGTTCTCTTACCATTATAAAAAATGTAGATTCTTTTTTTTTTTTAATGTTTTCTTGAAATTATTTTGATGCCTTTCGATGAACAAAAATATTAATCAACACGAATATTATAATATTAAATTAAAGATTAAACCGATAAGTGATAGATTTTTTGTTCTATTGTATATATGTATATACATTGTCTTGAAAATATCAGAAATAAAAATAAAAAAAGATATGGAAAAATGAATATTCTGATATTTTGATGAAGTGAGACGAAATAAAAATCGATCGATGACTTTCTTCGTCTAATGTTGAACTTTTTCAAAGAGTCTCGTGTAGTAAATCGTGCAAGCGAGGAGCTGGCTTAGTCGGTATTCCGAAAGGAATGAAATTTCATCAGGGAAATAAAATAGGACTCGCATGTCGAAACTCGGGCTAGAAGAAAGAAGTAATGCTCTTTTATCAAAGAAAAATGTCTTCGTTCTCGTTTCGTCGTCCATCTACACTATTTTTTAGCCCATAATATCTTTTTTCTCCTTTTTTCCTTCCTTCCTTTCTTTTTCTTTCCATTCGTCTGCATGTACTTTTTTTCTCTCTCTTTTATTTTTTTCTTTTTTACTATCGAAAGAAGAATCGAAAGAATCGTTCTTGAAAAGCGAGAAAGTCGGAAAAATTAGCAATGTAAATTTGATGCTGCTGTGGATGCTTACAATCGATACGTTCTATCACGAATCTCGATCGAACTTCTTCCCCATTGCTTTAAAATGAATCCTTTTTCTCTTTCTCTCTCGCACGTTCTTTTTATCCATCTCTTTCTCTTACTCTCTCTCTCTCTCTCTTTCTTTCTCTCTTTCTATATATAGTAAGTTTGATATCTACTTATTTTCATTTAGAATTGCAAATATCCATACAGGTTAGGTGCGAAGAGACAGATTTAATTTAATATTTACTCGGAATAATAATTAATTGGATTCCATCTATCACCTTGTTTAAAATGAAAAACAAATTCAATTTTATTCTTTAGATGGATATAAAAATTTTTCTTCTACTCCAACCTATATAAATAGATATATATCTATATTTATATATATATATATATTA